ATTCAGCAGGACTGTCCCAGGCGTCTTCGTTTGTGCTTCACCTGTGGGTCCCCCGGTCATATCAGTCGGGACTGTCCTCAGCAACAGCAGGCTCATTTGCCCCCACCTCCAGTTCGAGCAGCTCTCCCAGCTCCACCTCGACCAGTCCCGGCAGCACAGCCTCAGCACAGATCCTATCCACGAGCAGGACCTCTTCCTCCACAGCAGCAGCTTTATCAGGAAGCACACAGGCAGCAACCTCAGCGACAGATGTTCATGATGTCAGCCGTAGAAGCTGAGGCGAACGATCAAGTTATCACTGGTAAGAATTGTTTATCTTAGTCTTAATTGCATATGAATTTTCTTATTACATAATGATATTATGATAGGATTGTTTAAGAATACTAAGTTAGTTGTATTTACATTCTCCTATAATAGGCAAGGTTCTTGTTTCTTCCGTTCCTGCTTTATCACTCTTTGATTCTGGAGCCTCTCATTGTTTCTTGTCTCGTCGCTTTGCGAGTGCCCACTCTCTACCTATAGCTTCTCTGACTACGGGCTGGAATATCAACACTGGAAGTGGCATCTTAGTAGCATCCAGTGGTTATGAAGCATGCCCTGTAGTCATCTGCGGGAGGGAACTCTTGCGCCAACATGGATCCCGAGGTAAATGTTGACTACTGAGAGTAAGAGAGTGAGTCTCCCAACTCCATGATGGTACCAATTCCAGAGTCTACGGAATTTTGAATCAGGTGACATGCATACATGTTTTCTGATAGAATTGCTGTTTCATGTTCTGCGCTAATTGCTGTTTTCTGATAGAGATGAAAATAAAGAAGAATCAAGAGGTGGAGATCAAGATGAAACAGACAGTGGAAATCAAGATGAATCAGATTGGGATTGGATGGAGGATACTCCTTAATTTGTCTTCAATACTTTGTACTTGTGTCAAGATTGGAATTAGATGTGTTGCTTATTTTTGAACTATGCAGGTGTTCTCATTGTGCTTGGGTTGGGAACTATGATGTTGTGAAAGCAAGATAAACAATGACAATTAATTTGTGATTCATCATAATGTAGGTCATGTTTACATTGATTGTTTATATTCATTAGTAAATGTACAGATTGTTTATGTACTCTGGTAATGCCTTACTATCTATTTCTATGCAGATACCCTGGTACGCCAGGCAGCAATGGTTGTCAAGTGTATGCTGCTGATGTACTACAAGAACAGTAGGGGCAGGAACTACCGTAAGCAGGTAGTTCGCTGTTCTACATTTCTATATTTGTCTAAGTGTCACCTACATCACAAATAAGGCAATATTAAATCTTAGTAAGTGCTAAATATGATATAATGGAGCAGATAACCTTGAGGATTTCTGCTTGTTCATAAACCTAATGAGGGAACTAGTGCCTTTTTTAATTATTTATTGTATTCATTTTATGGTGCTTCCTTGTGTATTCAGTAACTTTAATTCCTTGAGCTGCCTTCATTTGATTAAGGATTTTTCTCATTTGCAAGGACTTCTTGCTTTCCAACAAAAGTTGTCAAGTGACATAATTATGTGGTATATCCAGTTAGGACTTCGATTTGCATGTTCCCATATTATCATATTTATTTTAAATTTCATATTCATTGAAAAACTTCAATAGATTTTCTTTTGAAGTTATTAATGTTGCATTTAAATAATACCTTCAATAGATTTTGGAGGGGAAAAAAATTCCTGACTTAATCTTGTTACGTAATTGTGGATGGCTATCAATAGGTTCAGTTCTTAATCTTATTTTAAGCTTTTGGATTCCAGGTTCAGTCGTTCCTTGCAGCATTGAAGGCATTGTCACGTAAAGAGGTGAACTATGGGTCACATGCCACAACAGAGCAGGTAAAATGTTCCTTCTGATTCCGTAGTTTAAAGTATGTAACACGCACTCTGTGTTTGTTTGTGTGCACGCACGCACATACAGTGTGTGTGTGTACATGCATTGCACGCATGTGCCGTTAATGGATTTGTTGATGTTCTGAATTGTAGTGGTCTGGATATGTGTCATGTGAACAACACACTAGCCAACATAGACTTAACCGTTCTCTAGACATGCACATGGTATGGAATCTATGAATATTTTGAGACCATTGAAAATGGATTGTCATGGTATGGAATCTATGAATATTTTGAGATCTCTTGTTTGAGCTTGTGAGTTAAATGGCGAGTGCAACTTTGTTAAGTGCTTTACCTTCTCTTGAGTATAAGAATTTGTTGAGGACTTAAACTGTTTATTGGACATAACATGGGTGGCAGATGGCAGAGCTTGCCCTGTAAATATATAGGATTATCGTAGGTGCACTGAAGCATTTCTTCTCTTTGAACTGATTTTGTCAATTCAACGATTTTGGTAATATACTAGCAACAACTATAAAGTTTTTAGCACTATGAGTACAATTTATGAAATGAGTTATTGTCAGGCTTAATTGCACGCCCTATAGTTTCCCCTACGTTGCACTGTATACCCTCACTTGTTTTTGGCAACAATTATATACCTTAATGTTTTTTAAACTTTCACTTATATACCCTCACTTGTTTTTGGCAACACTTATATAGCCTAAAGTTTTTAAAACTTGCACTTAAATACCCTATAGTTTTTAAAACTTGCACTTAAATACCCTAAAGTTTTAAAAACTCGCACTTAAATACCCATCGCAAATTTTAGCATGTTTGTCAGTTTGATACAAGTTAAAGAGAACAACCGTGAATTTTTGAAGCTCTAGAATCTAGAAGACGTAGACTTTATTCCTGTTATTTATCATATCGGACCACCTGAAATATATTCTTGATCTTCTATGATATTATGTTATCAATGGGAAATTTCAGTTGTTTTATGTCAAAGTGTGGAAAATGCAAGCTTGATATGCTTTTTCATAATGTCTGAGAGCACAGTACCTTGCCATGTACAGATATGTTGGGTTGTGGGAATTAGTAATTACTCTCTAAATTATATTAACGATTTGCTGGCTTCCAGATTGATGAAGTGATAAGTCAGGCTCAAGCTACAAGATCAGTCCTGGGAGCACAAAGGGCTTTGTTCGGCGATGTTCAGGGAAAAGTCAAGCATCTGGGCGAAAAATTTCCTATTATTCGAGGCCTCCTTGGTACCACGCCTTCCGCAAAACCTTGTTTTATTTTTGTTTTTATACGCGTAACTGATTTTTGATGCTTGATTTATAATTTAACCGAGGATCATGGTTTGGACTATGAAGAAACTGTAGCCATCTATTTTACTCAAATGGAAGGTTTTGATGCAGGTGAGTTATTTCCTTTATGTTAAGCTATTTATTTTGAATAATTGCACTATCTTTTTTCCCCAATTTTATTATCATCATTGCAAAAATTATGTTGATTCATGAAAATTTACACAGGTACAGAAATGATGAAAGCCAAGATTGAGATTGATACTGACAGGTTCCTAGTGAGTATTTGACATTGGGGAACAAGTTTTTGGAAACAAATAGAGAATATAAAGTCTTTGACCGAGAAGTTTCATGTTTTGTAATCAAATATTGATGTACATTGTTTGAATGTTAGTTCGGTACGATATTTTATGAGTTGAAATGTTGGTAGTGTGGATTTAATACTTTGTAGTTTTTATAATATACTGATGTATCTTGATACTTATCATTATGGTTGATTATGCTTAACATTTTTACTTTTATATTGTGTATTAAAATTTAACTTGGTCATGTTCTTAAAAAGATTGTCCAGGTAATTGAATATTATATGATTTTGACGTAGGGAACCAAGAACAACTCAATCAGAGCCGTTGCAATAGCTCGATCAAAACTGTTGTGATAGCTCAATCCAAACCGTTGCGTTAGGTTTTTTAAAACTGTTGTAATAGCTATAAAAAACCGCTGCAGTAGCTTAAAAACTGTCGCAATAGCTCAAGCAAAACTGTTGCAATGGCTTAAAAACCGCTTGCTTTTTAAAACCGTTGCGTTAGATCTTTTAAAACTGTTGTAATAGCTATAAAAAACCGTCGCAGTAGCTTAAAAACCGTCGCAATAGCTCAATCAAAACCGTTGCAATGGCTTAAAAATCGCTTGCCTTTTAAAACCGTTGCGTTAGATGCAGGGGCAACAGTTCAAAAAACCGTCGCAATAGAGTGCAAAACCGTTACGATAGAGGTAGGGCAACGGCAACATATGAGGCAGTTTGAGAACCGTCGCACTTGCTCAAGGGTGACGGTTCCATGGCTAGCGCAACGGTTTTGAACCGTTGCGTTAGAGTAAATATGTGGTAGTGACACCTCAAGTTTAAAGGGGTTTAAGTAACTTGTTTTAAGTTTAGGAGGATATCTCAAATTAGCTAAACGTAAAGGAGTTCTGTGAAATTACCGTTTTAATTATTTACGTAATCTGGCGACCTGGTTGTTAGTTCAAAGATACCGAATTGAGGCGGTCCTTTATACGTGCAACATCTTAGTTTCTACAAATTGTTTATGTCCATCAAAGTGCCATACTAGGTTGGCATCAAGTAGACGTGTCTCATTTATGCCCATATAAACCTCCAAAAAAAAATCAATTATTACTTAGATAAAGTTTTATTGATAAAAAAATATTTAAATACATTTGCGCAATCGAAGAATTAGGGATTACAAGTAGGGATGTCCAAAAAACCCGTGGCCCGGATCTGGCCCGCCCGGGTTCGCGCCTAGGCCGGCCAGAGCGCCCGTCCGGTCGGCCCGAAAACCCGGGCTAAAACCGGCCCGCTCGCGACCGCCGGGCCCTGCCCAGCCTGAAATTAGAATTTTTTTTTTATTTTTTTATTTTTTTATATGTATAATATATTAATATAATATATGTAGTGTATATATAATAATATATTTTTATATATGTATATATATATTTATAGCTCTCTCTTAGGATATAATTAAAATATAGTATACGCTCTCTTATACAAGTATATATATGTATAAGTATACTCTCTCTTATATATGTATATATATATATATATATATATATATATATACTCTCTTAGTATATAAGTATATATAAGTATACTCACTCTTATATATGTATAATATATAGATAATCAACCATCAAAGAAGATTGAGGAACCATAAAACCCACACTAAATCTCCCTATTTGATATCTTATTTGATATCTGATGTCAACAAACGCTTATTAAAATTGATTAGGCGTGCTTGTAGAAGTAACCTGAGGATATTTATAAAGGCAACTTTTGCTTTTTGTAGTTTATATATCAGATATACCCCCTTAGCCTTTGACAATATTTTTCATTTATCAGCAAACATGGAACTAAAGCTATGTGTGTTTTGGTCATCTTCACTTATAATAATCTTTAACCACGGTTTAACCAAGAACTCCATCTACTTTTGGAAGTGACTTTTGATAAATGATTGCCAAACACACTACCACATATATGCTCTAACGCAACGGTTCAAAACCGTTGCGTTAGCCATGGAACCGTCGCCCTTGAGCAAGCGCGACGGTTCTCAAACCGCCTCATATACTGCCGTTGCCCTACCTCTACCGTAACGGTTTTGAACTCTACTACGACGGTTTTTTGAACCGTTGCCCCTGCATCTAACGCAACGGTTTTAATTTAATAGGCTATAGCTATGGTTCTCATAGAGCTACGGCGACAGTTGAAGCTATTGCAACAGTTTTAAAAGACCTAACGCAACGGTTTTAGTAGGCTATAGCTATGGTTTTGATAGAGCTATGGCAACAATTGGAGCTATTGCAACAGTTTTAAAAGACCTAACACAACAGTTTGGATCGAGCTATCGCAGCGGTTTGGATCGAGCTATCGCAACGGTTTGGATCGAGCTATCGCAACGGTTTTAATCGAGCTATTGCAACTGCTCAATCAAAGCTGTTCTTGGTTTCCTACGTCAAAATAATTATAGTATTCAATTACCTGGACAATCTTTTTAAGAACATGGCCAAGTTAAATTTTAATACACAATATAAAAGTGATTATGTTGAGCATAATCAACCATAATGATAAGTGTCAACATACATCAGTATAGTATAAAAACTACAAAGTATTAAATCCACACTACCAACATTTCAACTCAGAAAATATCGTACCGAACTAACATTCAAACAATGTACATCAACATTTGATTACAAAACATGAAACTTCTGAAATTGGAAGGTAATATGTTGGCCTGCCAGATGATTAAAAGTCTCCCTCCTGACATTGGACACAAAAGTAAGTATAAATAAGTACTATAGAGAAGAGGAAGTGCACGACATGGGAACATTTCTGAAAAATAAATACCTGGTGATATCATAGACTAATAGTGCGCCTGCAGCTCCTCTGTAATAGGATCTTGTAATGGATCTGAAGGATTCTTGGCCTGCCTATAATGATAGAAACTTCAAGTCAGATGCATATAATAGTTACGAACATATAATAGCTAGAGATAAACCAATGATAGAAGCAGAGAAACATTTACATGTATATACCGAATCACAGGACAAAGAAAGTGATGATGTGTTACAAACATTTATAGCAAAAAGTTCATTAAGAAGGCTATTTTTTTTACAGCATAAAAAAGAAAATTCAGCATAAAATTTAGTACGCGCTTTAAACCTGTCAACAAAGCTTGGACTAACTGGACGTCCAGTTACTTCACTCAACATATCTGCAAATGTTTGAATCATACTTGTAGCTTGAGCTTCTTGTTGTCTCTTCATCTCCTCTTGTTGAGTGGCCACCACCTTCTTTGTTATATACATACATCTCAAGCATCAACAAATTTCATGAAGAAGAGAAGGCATATGCCAAACCAACAAACACAAATGCATTAACAGAACAAAAAGAGTGAGAAATCGGAGCAAGAGGTTATCAGAAGCGTGTAAGTAATGCTAACCAGTGCACAAGCGTCAACGCTAGAGTTTAAAACCAGAAACAGAAACTAAAAGACTTCCAGTATGTAGAATTTAGCCGCTTGGGCAGTGAACAAGCATTGCAGTATAATAGAGCACATTATAACAATATAACCACATATAATAATTTCCAGTATAATAACCGACCCAAGTCCATAATCGAAGGTAAAAAAAATGTTGTTACCGCCATCCTCTACTAACATCAATATGAGTTCAATACATCATTTCAAATGGCTTGAAAGGATGTGATATTAGGACCATGCCAAAACAAACCAAGAGACAACTGGTTATGCAGACAAATGACAAACAAATAACATGATCTACAGAATACACACAAGGTTATTACCTACCACAAACGTCAAAGAAAAGACCCAAAATGATGAATTGAATTTTCAGCTGCTACAAACCAAATATCACTAATGTGATACTTTTCTCACTATATGTTGGTCAAATTTTACCTCACTTCTTAAACCCATATCAACCGGAAAAGGAAAAAAAGCCACTATAATGTTCGGAACTTTTCTGATTTCTACATATTTTTCGCTGGAACCAACAGCGTCATGACACTAAAAGGGCTTTACCTACTAAAACCTGCATAGCCTTTGTCCGAGAAGATGAACTATGTACCATTAATACACAGCACCAAGATGCATTCCGCTTTTCCCATAGTTTCAGAGTCCAAACAGTACACTCCAGTAAAAGACAAACCTAACTAACATCATATACTTCCCCAGAAATATGATGCCTTCATAAAAGCTTAACAAGGTGCAGGACTAACTAAAGGTGCAGTACTACAACCACACTTCAAAACTACGTTGTGTTAGGGTTCGTCGGACAATAAATTATCATGTTTTGAAGTGATACCACCTAACAAAACTGCTGAGCCACTTAATAGCATCAAGTGATCACCATATTACAAAAAAGAAATATGAGAGCTAGCAATTCTCTCAAATCACGAGACTTCAAAATGCTAGAGTTTGGATTTTCCCATCCTCTAGTCAATCTCAAGCTCTTGAATAAATAAGAAGCATAAAAGATGCTATTTTCACATTATGGCTACAAAAACACAATAGCTAGTTACTAACAAAGTGTCCATACCAAACATAAGAGTTACGATTGCTGCGCTATATTATCTCATTGACAAATTACCTTCTACTTTATCTGATAATAAACACTCACGTTATCCTAAACTCCCTAATCGTATCTCTATCTGGACTAATCACACCATTTATATTATACTCGCCTTGAAAGGAAGGGACTTTTAAACAGTTTAATATCACGAAGACAAAATTAT